AGCTGGATTATCAATTTTCCGTTTACACTTCTCCGTGCATCGACCTGTTATACTTCTTGAACACGTGTCCTGAATTTGGCATAAAGTACGATTACGACGATCGTTTATTGAAGATCTATTTAGACAAATTGGAGGAGACAATGACAGACATCGGTTGCAAGAGGAAGCCACCGACGATGAAAGAATTAATGGAAGCGATTCACAAAAGAAGAGCGCACACAGTTTTAGCCGGGGTGGTGCTTTACTTCCGGATGATCGCAAACAAAGAGGACACCGAGTCGTTCACAACGCTGTACGAGAAGTTTGGAGGGGAGACTAAAATGGACGTTTTCAAAAATCCACACGCAATGAAAATAGCGCAAAAGATATTTCCAATTATGGACGAGAGAGGTTATTTTGATTTTGACTAAAACGATTACTCGAGCACTGTGACGAAGGAAAATCGTCCATCTTGAATCGACTCTGAATGGGAAGAAAAATGTGATTATTATACATATCTATATTTCTTTGAAATGCGACGATAATTGCGTGGATGTGAAAAATTTCAAATTTTTGTAAGATTTTCTATTTTGCGCTGGTAAGCAATATTTAAGAATCCAAAATATCGTATAAACAACGATAAACAAAGTGTCTTGAATGTGGGTAATTAATTTAGCTAATGATAAAATTTTCAAAATTATATTTTATTTCATTTTTTTTAAATTGTTTTTTCATTTGTTGATTATTTAATTGGTCATGGTAGGTTTAGTGTTTGGTATTCGTTACTTTTGATTCTTTTGAAGCAATAAATGGTTTGCAAAATAATTCTAGTGATATAGTTGCGTGACACAGTCTGTATAAAACAGTACAAATATGTATATATATCTAATGTAGGTTAATAGACAAAGCAATGTATATCACGATTATGCTATAACATTACACTGTAATTAAAAAAGAAAGAAATAATATAATAATAATTACAGAGTGTAAAATATATTAAATAATAATGTAAATATAGACAATGTAGTAATGTGCAATATTAAATCACACTGTTTTTGTTTGTCGAAATTCTTTTTTTTAGACTACAAATGCTGTATAGAGGATTGCATAAAATTTTGTTCCTTTCAAAGGAAATTACTATTGTTCTATATTAAAAATATCGAAATTACTTTTTGGTTAATTTAATGGTTTAAAAATTATATAAACATGTTCAGAAACAATAGTATCCATGGCTAATTTTTGAAGCGTTTTTTTAGACAAATTGGAGGAGACAATGACAGACATCGGTTGCAAGAGGAAGCCACCGACGATGAAAGAATTAATGGAAGCGATTCACAAAAGAAGAGCGCACACAGTTTTAGCCGGGGTGGTGCTTTACTTCCGGATGATCGCAAACAAAGAGGACACCGAGTCGTTCACAACGCTGTACGAGAAGTTTGGAGGGGAGACTAAAATGGACGTTTTCAAAAATCCACACGCAATGAAAATAGCGCAAAAGATATTTCCAATTATGGACGAGAGAGGTTATTTTGATTTTGACTAAAACGATTACTCGAGCACTGTGACGAAGGAAAATCGTCCATCTTGAATCGACTCTGAATGGGAAGAAAAATGTGATTATTATACATATCTATATTTCTTTGAAATGCGACGATAATTGCGTGGATGTGAAAAATTTCAAATTTTTGTAAGATTTTCTATTTTGCGCTGGTAAGCAATATTTAAGAATCCAAAATATCGTATAAACAACGATAAACAAAGTGTCTTGAATGTGGGTAATTAATTTAGCTAATGATAAAATTTTCAAAATTATATTTTATTTCATTTTTTTTAAATTGTTTTTTCATTTGTTGATTATTTAATTGGTCATGGTAGGTTTAGTGTTTGGTATTCGTTACTTTTGATTCTTTTGAAGCAATAAATGGTTTGCAAAATAATTCTAGTGATATAGTTGCGTGACACAGTCTGTATAAAACAGTACAAATATGTATATATATCTAATGTAGGTTAATAGACAAAGCAATGTATATCACGATTATGCTATAACATTACACTGTAATTAAAAAAGAAAGAAATAATATAATAATAATTACAGAGTGTAAAATATATTAAATAATAATGTAAATATAGACAATGTAGTAATGTGCAATATTAAATCACACTGTTTTTGTTTGTCGAAATTCTTTTTTTTAGACTACAAATGCTGTATAGAGGATTGCATAAAATTTTGTTCCTTTCAAAGGAAATTACTATTGTTCTATATTAAAAATATCGAAATTACTTTTTGGTTAATTTAATGGTTTAAAAATTATATAAACATGTTCAGAAACAATAGTATCCATGGCTAATTTTTGAAGCGTTTTTAAAAAATGTAGCTTTGTATAATAACATAAAATATATATATATATATACACAGATATACATATATTGCCAAGAAATCATTATACTGTATCTACATAATAATTATATCATTTTGTAATTTTATAATACTCTTTTATTTTTATACAAAAATAGAATCTGAAAATTTAATACTCTGTTACTGAATAAACTGTTAATAAAGGAAAAATATAATGTCACTCGAAACCCTACATTACTTTTGAATTTACGTTTTATATTTAAAAATTTTGTATTATGTTATTACATATATCTAGACATATATCTAGACATAATAACAAGAATGACTGAAAGCATGATAAATTATTGGATGTTTGTATTTATGCTCTAGTTATGATATATTTTATGTTACTTCAACGTATAATTAGTTCAATTATTATAGGAAAATCGTAGAATTAAAAAAGAAGAGAAAGATAAAATGGTTGATTACAAAAATATAAATATCCCAACATTCGAAACTCCATAAAGGTAACCCCATAAAGATAATAATTAACCTCGAATGTTAAGTTAGGCTACACAATGTTGATTTGGAATAGGTTGGTTGATAAAGATTTGTGAAAAATTCAAATTTTTTAAAGAATATTCGAAATAATTCTTTACCGACTCAGTACGTCCATTGTTAACTAAACCTAACCTCTTTTACTGAAAACGCTAATTCGTGTCTCATACGAATTAATCATACCGTGATATCTATCAAAAATGCTTCATTTTTATTAAAATTTGCATAAGTGCGATATTAAACGAAGTATCTTATATTGTATCTAATAATTGGGAGTAAATTAATAGTTAGGAGTATGGGATATTTATTCATTTTCGAGGATTGTTATACTATTTTTATCAAACATTGTCGAAAAATTGTTTCGAGAAAATAGGATAATGACATGGACCAGAAAAAGAAATCATAAGAAACCATAACAAATTCTAGATATTTTGTAGATCATTTTATTTTTCTCCACATTTATAGTAATCACGTGCAAAATTTAAGTATTATTTAAACCATAAAGAATGAATAATTGAATGAATTTTTTAATAAAATCGAATATAAATTTAATATCTAATAAATGTCTTTTAAGAATTTTAGCAACAGTCATAAATAAAAATATATATAATATAAGTAATGCACCCATTCTCGATAATAATACATTAACCTCAAAATTACCCCAGTTTCGACATGTAAAATACATCAGAATAGGAGATGCACGTAGCATTCTCTTTTTAAAATGTTTTTTAGTACAAGAAATACGAATAAAATTGAAGCAAAGTGTGATTCTGATATAGACTAGCCTAATACAGTTTGTAATTCCCGCCCTTTTTGAAACTAACCTAGAAATCTCAGCTTCTGAAACATACCAGCTGAACACAATAGTATTATACACAGAAATAACTAAAGATAGTATTTTGAAACTCAATACTCTCACTAATTATACCTCTACAGACAACATGATACATTTATCAATTAATATCAGGAAAAAATTAACGAAAGTTACCTGGAAAAATTTTTCTAGATTACCAAAAACATATTTTTCCACTTTCTAGGTAAATCATTTGTAATATTCGTTTCATTACTCACGTATATCTGCTTAATTAAGAAATCCATATCCCTGCCACTTTACCAAATTATTTGATACACAATAATCAACAAACTGACTCAAAACTGAATCACCAATTTTCTTCTGTTTCACAGCTTCATTAAAATCTGCGACTGCAAACCTAACCTAACCCAACCGTCACTGACGTCAACGTTATTACATTAGTCGAACAGGGCTGCCAATCTACCCAACAATTCCCTATCTCTCCGCGTCACTGCTACCAACTACACATCATCTACGAAACGCTTTAGCGTTCAAAGCTTCGCTAGTTAGACTCTGCATTCTATCCATGGACACGTGAATATGCGATCATACATAGATAACATAGCAAATCTACATAGTCGCGATTAGTAAATGAACATATCTGTCATTCGCTAACGAGGATCTCGAGCTATCTATCACCATCGTTTGATGTACTAATAATCTTCAAACTATACACACACCAGTTTACAACAACGACTGGACCATGGCTCATGGTCCATCGGAGCGAAAGGGTTAATTAATCTTCTCTAAATAGGTCGAACAGGAAGGCTATTGACTAGTTGGTCAGGATGACCAGTCTCTATAGAAATACGTGACATGACACTAATCGCGACATCTCTTACTAGGCTAATGAACCTATTTTTATCTCGCTTGCTCTCTTCCTGATAACTCGACTCGAGTTAGACTCTGCATTCCATCCATAGACACGTGAATATGCGATCATACATAGACCACACAGCAAATGTACATAATCGCGATTAGTAAATGAACACATCTGTCATTCGCTAACGAGGATCTCGAGCTACCTATCACCATCGTGAAGCGAGCAGATCCGAAGGGACGAGGCTAATCCCGAACATCGGTCGCTTTCGACGACGAGGCAAAGGAAGAAAAAGCAACGACACAGTCGATGAACTTTCGAAAAGGTCCTTGGAACGAACGTGCGGCCTTGGCGGTCAGCCGGTAGCAATTGATTTATTGTAGGGCAGTAAAGCACTAGGCTAAAAGGTCTCTGAAAGCATCGTCTCGGTAACCTACATCGTGAACAGAGAAATTGTTGTGGCAAGCCTCGATGGGGTGGCTTTTGCCTCGAGGAGGATCCCGGCTCGGGAAGAGAAACGCGAACGGCAGTCACCGTCTCGAGAGAGAAAGAGCCCTATCTTGGGTCCCTTCGACGAACTTCTGGTCTAGTTAGCTCTGCCTTTGCGCGCTGACCTGCAGGATGCACGAGGCCTTCGTAAATCATAGTAGAAAGGCGATCAGGGAAAAATTCGGTAGCCGATCTTCGGTTCTCCGCACGAGGTACGAGAAAGTTGGGATGGAGCAGGAGCATCCGGGGAGAAAATAAGGGATAATGGGAAAACTGGACGTCCGTGAAGTATTCGGGTTATTCGGTCGTCAGTGGCAGAAAATTCCGGTAGCTGGCTGCGATTAGTTCCGAGAGTCCTGGTCGCTTTCTTGTCTTTGGCCACCTTTATGCTTC